CTTACAACTAAACTTCTATAACAAGTATGATCCATGACACGTATCTGAGGAAGATAAGTGCTTCCTATGCTATTTTAGACTTGGAAAGTGCACCCTTGAGAACTCCATGTTGCTAAGAAAAACGTTTAGCTTTGCACATGCGCTCCTGATGACTTCCAGGAGGAACTGACATCTCAAAACTTTCAACCTAAAAAATGCACAGGCACTGGTGTTCATCACTCTGTTTAAAACTTTTAGTGGCTTTCCATGGCTTTCTAAATCAAGTCTCAACCTCTTGGCTTGCCTCTTAAGACAGTCTATTTCCTAAGGTCTCATCTTAGATTTCTTCAGCTCCCCTACAGGACTGTGTCACCAGAGACAAAATGGCCTTATGTATTGAAATCACATTCCCACCAATGAGCCATGGCCCATTAAGTCGCCTCTTCCTGGAAAACCTTCATTCTCTATATTTTTCTATAGCCATCTATTTCCCATTGAAATACCTCCAAAGCCCATCAAGCACTATATCACTCTGTATTCTTCCCAACAGATATAATTCAATGCAACCTCTCCTTCTTTTCCACCCAAAGCACTAGCTCTTGCCACCACATACGTGTACCTGGATGATGGTACTTGAAACTGCTGCTTATATCATTTTGTTTCTGTTCTTTCTTCCTAGCTCCTAGATGCATTCCTGGCTTGGCTTGTCTTTACATACTTAAGTCTCAGGCCCTTTCTCAAAAAATGATGCAAAAAAGGAAGATTTGGTATAGAGAGTCTAACTCAACATTCCTCCCCTCAATCTAACCACGAGGCTGTGGTATAATGCAGCCTCTAACTGGTGTTCTGCTAAAAGGTGGCTGTGTCAGGGCACACAGGCTCATTTCCCTCATGTGTTCCAAGTGGGCTTGCCAGAGCAATAGCCAATTAGGCTCTGTAGTTCCTTGGGAAATAAAATTAAGGATAAAAGTATCCTCTGAACTGTCTTATTTTATGGCAATTAAAAAAATAAAAAGAACAACTGGTATCGCATGGGCAACAAGCAACTACAGCAGGCTTCACTTAAGAAAACAATATGGCCATGCTCATACAAACTGGCTGGAAATCGTTTTTAATTACTACTCTCTCATTAATAAACCCAAAGGGCCGTATCACCACTTTATATGACCATGGGATTAAAGTGCCATATCATCTCTGTTGGATAGAAAAATGAATGCACTTTGGGAACATAGAGTGAGTAGGGGAGGGGCAGAAAGGAAATTTGCCAGATAAGTTATAAGTGAAATCTCAGTTCCCTTTGCTTTTTAAAGAGGCTGAGTCAAGGCCTAAATAGTAAAGTCCCTTTGAAGGACCACAGTTATTTTACCACCATTCCAAAAGCCACAAAGAGGAACAGGATAGAGAATAGACAGACCACAGGGACAGAAGAGATAATGGACAGGTTCTGCAATGGAACACTATGTCCAAGTTGAATGGATTTGCTTGGTCTCCTAACAGTAGGCTCACATTCAAATCAATTGGTTTGGTATTCTTTTTTTCTCCCTCTTCATACCTCTCTTCCTCCTTTTGTTCTTCCTTCCTTTCTTTCTTTACTGAGGTTTTCATTGAAAATGAAGAATGATAGATCAAAATTAGATAGGAATGTAAGTAATAAAGAAAGAGTGTACTAATGGAAGAAAGGAAATCAAATAAACAGGACAGGAAATGAAGTGAGAAGTTAGACGGGTTGCTTCCTAAAGCCCAGATCCACCTGTGGAAATAAAAATGAGGAAAAATGTCAGGAATCTGGGGGTCAGGAGACTCTAACTACATATTGAAAAGTGGAGATCTGGGTTAGAGATGAAGGGATTGACTGGAACTGAGCTTGGAGCCAAGAAAAAGGGCAGACAGGGCTGAGATGGAGACGTACACCATAGGAACACACAGAAAAATCTGACCCAATGTGACCCAAGAGAACCTGAATTTTGAAATTGCATTTTGAACCTAGGGAGACTCCAAAGTGCAAAGCAGAGGCATGAACCTAGCTTTCACGGGCCCAGGACAGAAACTGCACAGCACTCTCAGGAGTATCACTTGGATGCTGCAGCAAGAGGACCATCATCCCAGCACAGGAGAAGATTGCTTCCAATGACTATTCCCATGCCCCTACTCCTAACCTAGCTCATGTCCTCCCAGATCTGAAAGGCACCTTAGGACCATTTAGGTGAGTCATTCTCATTTACAAATGAGGTCCTTGGGATTCCGAGGGTTTCAGGAACATTCTCAAAGTGCATAGCTAGTTATTTGCAGATATACCTCTTGAATGCTCATATTAAACCACCAGTAAGGAAGTTGCACTCTTTGACTTTCAGCATGAAAATAATCCCCAATTTTCTTCTGCTTTCTCAGTTTCTCCCTTTTGTACCCTAACCAAATAGTTCTAATTCTCTGTTGTTTTAAGTCTTCAATTAAATTTTGTACAAAATACATCATAAGGTAACCCAAGCTTTGGAAGGAAAGAGCTCTGGGTGTTCCCCAACATGCCTTAGTCACATTTATATGTAAAGTATTTTATACTGGTTCAAGGTGATATTTTGAAATATATAATTCCCTGGATAAAAGTAAAAGTTTTCTTAATAAGAAAGATTATGATGGTCATGATGTCTTTGTAAATAGGTGCTTTCTGATTTTTAAATACTGTCTTGATGAGTCTTTGATTCCCAAAGCACCCAAGAGTCTTTAGTTTGGATAAGGGCTTTCCTGGAACCCTAAAATGGGATAGGAGATCAGAGTCTTTCAAGACAGATGGTGCCAATGATGACCATCATTGGTTTAAGTTTAATTTAGTCAGAAATATGGGTACTGGTCTATCACAGTGGGATAAAATTATGACCTCTTCCCAGCCAGAGAGATCAACACATAGAAACTAATCAGGAAGCTCTAGGATTGGCTTGAGCCTTTCCGTGGTCTTACAACCTTGTTCTCACATCACTTTTAACTTACCCAGCGCCAGTTTTTGCCAAAGGAGCTACCAACCAATCATTTTGCATACTTCCTCAAAAAAAAAAAAGCTTATTTTTATTTTCTGTCTCAGAACAATTTATTGTTGAATTGTTATTGAATTTGTTATCAAAACAGCATGAGCTTGGTCTTCTACCATAGAGGAAAATAGATTCCTGCCAATTAGTTTTGGGGGTAGCACTTTGTTATAGGAAACCATCTTAGTTATTTGATCAAAAGAAAAAAAAAGTTATCTATCAACAATACTGAAATGGAAAGGAGGAAAGAGAAAAGAAAAAAGAAAAGAAAAGTTTAGATTTAAATCTCTGGCCATGGTGGTCATGGAGTTTATACTTCTGTTTCAGACTGACAGTATGGAAAGATGGGTTTGAGAGGCACAGGACACTGTTTATCTAAGGGAAGATCATTTAGGTGGCCACCATCACCTGCCAAGGTTACTAAACAGTTCCAACAAATTTGGAAATGGTTATCAGGAAGAAGAGTGAAGAAGAGTCCACCAGGGTTCATGAAGGAAAGAAGAGCGTGGATTGATGTGAATGTACTAAGGTGACCCCAATAAAAAATAATTATGTAGAAGAAGGCCTAGCTTTTAAGAAAGTTGTGAAATCCTAACAAGGGATTCACCCCACAAACCCGATTTACTTCTGTTGGAAACCAGGAAATGTTCATAAGCCTGAATATAGACTGCTGACATCATTTTAGTCTGCTGTGTAGACTAGTGATTGGTTATAAGTAGTTTTTAAACAATCCAATTGGACATACATTATATTCACAATACTTTTATAGAGCTACTTCTACAAAATGTGACAACAGGGTAACCACAGTCTGACAAGTCACTTCAGGACGGCGCCTACAAGGCGGAAGCACAACTACGTTGGCTCTGCAGGAAGTAGACAGAGGTGGAAGCTCATTTTGCCTACACTGGTAATTGGAGTATTTAGTGGACGTATGTTTTCATGGTGATTTCATTGCATGGCTCTGATTTGATTTGCACTAATATACTAAGTGCCACAGGGTCATGGCCTAAAGAATTAATGGAATAGATATCATGGGACTTTGAGGGGTATTTTGGTAAGTTTGGTTTCTTCAAGTGTCCACAGTTTACATTTTCAAAGAAAAGAAAAATCACTATCACATCCATGCTTCTCCATAGACCCTGATGACTGTATAAAAGATTGATCATTTTTGAAGTTGAAAGATTTGCTAAATCGTTTGGAACGTAACAGTTGCCGGGACGACTGTACACCGAGCATGCAAGCCACAGCAGAGCTCTGAGACTTGGTAATTGTGTCTGATGGCTAGAAAAATCTTTAAGCACAGTTGGAAGTGGCTGAGACATTTGATTTCACTGCTGGTCATTTTCAAAGGACTTTTCTAATAATCTGTATTGAGGGCATTCATTGTTTTGCTGTTGTCGTTATTATGTTTTACACCATTGCAGCAAGTTTGTGTGTTTTGTCCCAGCAACTAAAGGAAAGCCTGAAAAAAATAAAATCTGGGCAAAAGTAGTCTCCTTGATTGTGAAAATTTTCTGGCTTTTAAACAAAAACTCAGTGAGAAGAACGAATGCATTATCATATCCTATTGCTAAGTGAAACTATCCACTGGTGTTTACAAACTTTCAGGCTAAAAGCTCTGAGACCTGGGGAGTGGGGAGAAAGTCCACCAGACCCTTCCAGAGTTGAAATTACTGTGCTTGTGTGGGTGGTTTGGACATAGGAAATGAGAAGCATAACAGCATGGAGGAGTCCCCACCATTAGAACAACAAACAGAGCAGTATCTTGTGCGCATCTGGTCCTCAACTTTCACGTCCCAGGCGTGCTCACAACCCTCCTGGCATCGTTAGTTGGCTGGATAAACCTGATCTGGCAATTGTAGAAAAGCTGCGAGAAGGTCTTCCCTTTAAATATACGAACAAAAGGGTGAGAAAAACAGAATGAAAACTAAAACTACAAAAATATGACTTTCAACTGAGAAAATAAATAAGTTTCCATTTATTAAGAGCTGGTGTCGATGCAGCTAAAATACACACCCATCCAGGAAATTCACCTGCCCCCTTTTGTCTTCTTTTATGAATTTACTAAAATATATGTTTACATCATCGGACCATTTTAAAATTGTTTTAATAATCCATTTCCCTTCATAACAATTAACTGTGGTGGTGACCATCATTCTCCTCAAAGGAAAAGAGAAAAAGAAGAGAAATACGCATTAAGGAGTCTGGCCACTTACTCATTTTGATTTTGCATTGTTGAGATATAGGGAAGATATCTGACAATGAGAAAAAAAGAAAAAATATATTTCTTTCTAATAAATAAAAATAATTTAAAATGCTAGAGGCTATACATGACTATTTTAGTATGTTCATTTATAAATGAAATCATTTTCTTTTCCAAAATACATGGAAGCAATATTCAAGGCAGACAAAGAGAAAGATCTGTCTACTTTATTTTTCTTGCAATTCTCGCTTATCCTAACGTTTCCACCAGTGATTCAGCATGTAAGAGGAAGAAAAGTCACATCACCATTTATGAAGTTTGTCAGGCTTTAAAAAAATAGTTCTGGTCTCCTGGGAGTCAACATTCATCTTCAACTTCTCTGATTGGTGGAATCAAGCTGCTTGTGGATTTATATTGGTTGATCTGGTTAGCCATGTGGGTACTCATGGGCTTGATTTGAATGTTTCTGGGATAGGCATTATCCGGTTCATCTGTAAACCATTTCTTTTCTGCTAAAGGGCAAAACGGATAGAGAACAAGAAGGAGAAATGAGAAGCTTAATTAGTCCTAGGGTAAAGCCTTTGGAAAGTTCATTGAAAAAAAAAAAAAGCAAAAATGTAATCGATAGAAGCTGACAGTGAATAGTTGCTAAGAGATAGTGCAGTGTAGGGAGAACCACAGGACCTGGGGCAGCTCTGCTGCCTGTGACAAGTGATGACCAATGCACCCATGGGCCTTGGAAGCCCCGTAGGTGGACCTCTCAAAACAAAGAGTGGTTGGAAGAGGAACTCCAGCAATGCTCTCTGGGGTTCCTTTAGTGGCCTGGAAAGCTTTGGTGGGAAGGAGATGCTGAATATACCAAATATTAGGTGTGAACACTGTGCCTAAAGAGAGACTTGCATGTTCACTGATTTGAGTGGAACGTGAGGGACATTGTCCCTGACACAGAGCCAGTGATCTAGCATCTTATGCAGAATCTCCTCCTCCCAACCTGTACTTGGCTTTTTTTTTTTTTATAACAGACACACTTGGTTGTATCTCAATACACCACTCTTCTTTGTTTTTCTTTCTTTCTTTCTTTCTTTTCTTTTCTTTTTCTTTTTCTTTTTCTTTTTTTTTTTTTTTTGCAGCCATTTTTAAGGGTCTTAAGCCCACAGATTTTGCTGGGCAATGAGACTAAAAATCAGAACAGTAACCAATATTTTAAGACAATTTTGAGATGGTTTTTATTTCAAGAAAGAAAACTCTGTGTTGGTAGAAAGTTATGAAACGAATTCCCAGTGGCAGTATCTTAACCGACTATCATAACCCAAGCTGTTGACAAGGGAGCTCGACGAAGTCTTGGCATTTCATTTCCACCCTAAATACAGAGATGCCTGAGAGAGAAGGCTGAGTCAGAGTGTTGGGGGTGAGTTAAGGGGGGCAAGGAAAGGGCCTAGCATCCTCTCTGCACTTAAGTGCTATTTTACAGGGCTCAGGCCTTGCCCCTGCCTTTTTTCTAGGATTGAAACTTTCTGGGTTATCGGCCTCATATACAGACATGAATAGACTGGGCAAATAGGACATTCGAATTTGGGAAGCATATTAGTGGCTTAGGAAAAGGAGAGAAAAAGGGGAAAAGCTTCCAGGCACAACCACTGCTCTAGAGACAATGGCCTCTTTTCTGCTATCAGAACAAGTCACAACTGCCTTGTCAGCGGTCCTGGACTGATACATTAACAAAAATTGCTCACCTGGCTTGACACCTGGCGTGTGTGTGTGTGTGTGTGTGTGTGTGTGTGTGCGCGCGCGCGCGTCTGTCTGTCTGTCTGTCTGATAGGCTAATGATCTATGAATTCAGCAACTGTGATCAGCTTCACAACCGCTCTGCTTGTGTCTCCTCGAGGCGTACTCTGTTGCGGTGTCAAGTCTGAGCCCTCAGCCTAAACACCGTCGGGGGAGCTGGGGTGTCCTCGGTGAGAGCTGCTGGCCCACTACCCTTTGTTCAGCAGCTCAGTTTACACCCAGGACACTACTGTCTCTCGGATCATTCTCCACTCCCCTTTCTCCTGCTCTGGCTCTCTCACCTATTATAATTAAGTTCACTTTGATTTGAACAGATTGGACGATAGGAATTCATAATGCTACATCCTCACAGTGAAGCTAACTGATTAAGTGCTTTAAATTATTCCCCCTGACAGAATGATAAAGTTACAATCTGTTCTGAGATGATCTACAGCTTGCCAGACTCGTACAGCTTCTTTCTACATTCATTTATCTTTTTGTCAAGCGGAGTTTTTTTTTTTTTTCCTAAGCTTCAATTCCATAGATCTTTTAAAGTCATCAGCACATCTGAATTATTAATGAGGCTTTAGAGGCAAGGTTCCTGATGGACTGGTTAAAAAAGGTTGTATAGAAATCCAGGACTGTGTACACATCAAAATAATTTCAGCTCCATTTAAAAAACCATTTAGTTCAAGTGTGACATAGATGAACCATTATGCATTTGTGGAAACCAATTTTTTTGTGATCTACGATTAAACTAACCTTTCAGAGAGGAGTAGCGTGTGATGGTTATCATGTTTTAAAAGCATTGCCAGGCCGCTGAAACAATTTCAAACTATGACTTTTTCCAATGGTTTATGTGTAAGGATGATTTTCAGAAGAGCTGAACCAGGCGTCTGTGCTGTTTGCCTTAGCTGCCCTGGGTTTTGGCTGTGCCCCTGTGGGGACTGATTGTGCAAAGGGATTTAGTGCTAGGTTGGACATGCCAGGTTGGAAAGGAAACTGAACTCCGCTGATGGAAACGGGTAGGTCTTTTGGGCGAAAGACCTAAGACAGCTGCAATTTGCTGAAATTTTTACAACTGCTGCAGAGAATAATTGTTCAGAATTTAGTCTTTACAGTTCAATTCGAAGTTGGCATTTTGACCTTTCGCAGCAGAGAGAATATCAATTTCCTTCTGCTGTCGGTAAGAAAGAGAGCATTATTTCCCCGTTTAAGCTTCGTTCTCTCTTTCCTTCTACGTTTCTTGCCATAGAAGAAAATCTATGCAGAGTAGCACCTGTGTCTTGGCCATTCAGCTCCACACAAGAAGGAGCTGTGTTCAAGCACATCCTGGTGATGAGCTGAGGTTCTCATTACGCCTGAGAAACAGGCTTTTTAATTTGGGCCCCTGGTCAGATATGAATATATATGTTGTTGGAGACTTGGTTGGGTAGGATGTCGAGGACGTGGAAATATGTTAATGCTCTGAGCACTCTGGTAAAATATCCAGGGGCAGAGGTATTTCACGAAGAGATTCTCCCAAAGGCCATCAGAGGAACGCACACTTTAATGGTCGTCAGCCACTTGTTTCAACAGAGAGTGTGCGGGGTATGATGAAGACACTTGGGTTTATGAATCTCGCCTTCCAAAGAAGAAACTGGGTCAATGGGAGGCCACCCCATGGACCATGAGGAAGAACACTCAGGGAAGGGATTCAAATGGATGCTGAAGTGGTCCAGAAAAAAAATCCAGATCCCTGAGTTTATCTCCTCTCCCCGCCTCATGCCACAGGCCAGAAAGAGATTTCCAGGAGCTTCGTTTTTGTCCCGAAGATGGGAAGGCCGGTGGATCTGGCTGTGCGGGCCTCCTCGCCGCCAGAGGAAAACAGCCCCAACAGGGGTCGTGTGCGACCCCCGGATTCGGGAGGGGAGGCTTTGTGGTCTCTGGCAAGTGACTGGTAGGGCGAGATGCAACCTGGACGTGGAGTGCAAGATGCCTCTGAGGGACCTGGCACTGCCCGGAGGGGCGGGGGGCACGGAGCTGTGCGGCACCGGCCCACAGGGAGCTGGGGGCTGCCAATGGAGGCAGCAGCCAGGAGGGGGAGGTGGATCTGGGGACTCGCCTGGTGGCAGCTGGCTCCCAGCAGGCCACCACCTAACCAATTGCAGCTACGGATCTTCTGTCAAATGGGCTCGGCTCCTGGGCAGATCTTCCTCCCGCTGTCACCTGGAGGGAAGGTGCTCGAGCAGGTGCAGCGCTCAGCACAGGCCTAGGCCCAGGTGCGGAAGTGCCCGCACTTTCAAAAGCCACTCTGCCACTTTCTGGCCGGTGGCTCTGAACAAATCTGTCCTGTAGATCCCTTGGAACAGAGGTGTGAGCTGCCCCATTCGGCAGAGCTGGGGTGAGGACTGAATGAGTAGGTAAAGTGCTGGCAGGAGTCTGGCGCTAAGGAAGCGCTGGGTGTTAGCCTGTCCTATGACCTTAGCATTTACACGAGCACTCTCTGTACCCGAGGGCTACGTGTGGCTGCACACTGAGATCTAAGGAACATAAACCGGGGTGCTGGCCTGCAGAACGGGGAGCTCGGCATTAGAGACAACCCAGGAGGATTTGCTTGGGTTATCTGCATTGGAAGGAAAGGAGAGAAAGGGGTGGCCCTGCATTCTTTCTGAGGGGTTCAGGATGGCTACCCTGCTGTGGGGCCTGTATCCTTACAGATACAGATATAGATAACGGCTTTGTGCTCAACAGGTGCCCTACCCCACCCATGGGTCCTCTGCGTCTTCCATCGCTACTTCCATTCCTGAGATAGAAGGGCCCAGGATAAGAGCTAGGACTTCCCCAAGCCACGAGGAGCCTGGAGGAGTGGGGCTGGCAGGCGGGGGTGGGGGGGAACGACCCCAGACCTGGGCTGTCCTGGCTGCCTGGGCACCTGCAAGCAGGGAAACAGGCTGTGCTGTGAAAACTGAGCCTCTCCACTGGCTCTGCGGCTTGTCAGGACTGTGGGATTCAGCCTTTTCACTGAACTGCTCCCCAGAGAAGAGTGCATTAAAGGAGAGGCGAGAATACAGCAATGGTATTTGGAATAATTGGCCCTCCTCCTGCTGTCCCACAAGCTGAGGTTTAGAGAATGAAGGTTCCATTTGGAGAGACAACAGCTGAGGACAGGAAGCCCCAACCAGGAGCTGGAGCCTGCAGGGGTAACGCTGTCTGCTTTCCCAGCTCACCTTTCTGGGACGCAGTCTGGCGTTGGCCCTCTGCCCAGCAGACCTCAAGGCCCCCAGGGGGCCCCCACCCGTGCGTACTGCTGTCTTCCCCCTCCATGGGCAACGGATGGCTACTTCATAGACATAAAAACCGTTCGCACCAGAACCAAAGCAGCTTCCATTTATGAAAACTGACACTTATTTGCAATCGTCCATCATGACTCGATTTGCCTCTTTTAACTGAAAGTCTAATGCTGCCATTCGCTGAGCAGAGCAAACTGCCCCCCGCTCTGGGCCTTTTCTGGGGCCTTTGCCCAGCTGACACCCCAAGGACAGACTCTTCACTCTTTCCTTTTGGGTGGCAGGGGATAATCCCTCTCACCTCCCTTTACAATAGGTGCCATCTCCTGGTGGGAGACAGGCCACCGGCTTAGTGACAGGTGCCCACAGCTGCTCAGCTTCGTCGTGTTATGACAAAGCAGGGATGGGTTAAAGAAGCTGGTTGAGACACTGATTTTTACCCTGTCTTGCCCTGAAGTTTCCATACTTTCCTCTTTATCCTTCAGGAGCCTGTTGCTATAGGAACCTGTCAGGTTGATTTAATTGTCTCTGTTGGGATGCACACACCTTTAGGCTTTTCCCATGCTGAAGAAGAGCCAGTCAAAGGTTTTTTCTGGTCATCTGAGATCTTGACAATGCTGGCAGGAGGCACAGTCTATACCTCCGTCTCACCGGACTTCTAAGGCTACCCCCCTCCTCAGGAGCCCTGAGCCTAGCTCGAGAGAGCGCCAATGGCACAGCAGCATAGGGAAGCACCTAGAGGCACTCTTGGATCCTTTTTAAAGATAAGCCAAGGGAGTAAAGATAATTGATAACATGATGAAAGGTCTGAAAATATTTAAGTTCAAGTTATTTCAAAAGATTTACTGGGCACTTATTATAAGGTTCCAGGTCACAACCTGTAATGTTCATACGGAATTTGAAACTTCTCCCGGTTGTGGTAGGACTCTATGTCCAAGGGTCCAGCTTTCTCTTTATCCATTTGAACTGGCTTCAGGAAGGCCCCTGGGTAGCAATCCTTAGGGATGTTGATGATTTTACGATCATCCGAGCAAGCTGTTGAGGCTGAGAAGGCTTCACTACACCTCCTGGTCTACCCACTTACTTAAGGTTCAGCCCTTTCAAAACCTAAAGCAAATTGGACTGAATGGCTTACAAATTGCTTCTCTTCTAGAACGGTACAGATAATTGAGTTTCTAGCTGTTGCTCTTTTTAAATGCATATACTTTCTCTTCAAATAATTCTTTTGCTCTCAACCTTTACCTACTTCTTTCTTCTTTCTTTTTCTTTCTTCTTTCTCTCTTTCTCTTTTTTCTTTCTTGCTTTCTCTCTCTTTCTCCTTCCTTCCTTCTTTTTTCTTTCTCTCTCCATTTCCTTCCTATTCTTTTATTTTTTCATGGGGAGCAGGAAGGGGAGAGACATAATGCGAGGACTTTGTGTGCTTCCTTCCTAAAAGAGGCTGAAAGGGGAATGGGGAAGTTTGGAGTCACATGGAAAACAAGGGAGGAGACTTTGTTCTATTGAGGGCAAGTAAAACATAGTGGTTTCAGCTAATGGAATAGAGGTCATAATGATTACCTTTTCATCACTGAATGTATGGTTAGCCAAATGCTACAGTCAACTCTCAGTTGTGTGCCTAAAGTCCCGGGAAAATCCCAAAGTTTCATCTCATGTCACAGTCTGTTCCCACCCTGTTCCTGTCACAACATCATCTCATCAGAGCTGCTGACAGATTGTATATAAAATGCGTTTTGGCATCACTTCTCTCTATCTTCCCAATCTCTGGTTGGGATGTAACAAATGCCTGAAAGGCAGGCGGCAGGAGAGACTTGGATGATGCAGAGCCTGAGTCGTGAGGCCCCGGATAACCGGGCTTGCTCTAGGAGTTGAGACACATAATTGAACAGTTTTAATTTGGGGGCCTATTGATCAAACATAAAGGAGACCAATGCTTTTGTCATTAATAAACCTCCTGGTCTACATTAAAAGGAGGATAAAATATGAACCGAGAAGCAGGTTTGCCAAATGGAATGGCTGCAAATGTTTTCCAGCAAAGTTTATCACCTGGCATCATACTCTGATTTAGTAGGTCTTGCCAAGATAAACACAGAAATGTGGACAGACTGATGGGGGACTGGGTTGGGGTGGTGGTAATGGGGAGGGGGAGTGGAGGAAGCTGGGTTTCTTGATGGGAAAATGCTTTTGGACTTGGAGCAAGGTACCAAGGTGGGCAGGGAGGCCACGTGCAGATTTAAAGGCAAGCCAGATGGAGAGAAGTTCCCCCCAAATTACCCAACCCCAAAACCAAGAACACCAAAACAAACTCTAAGGGATCTAGCAGTAGCAGCAGCACAGCCTCATCGCGCTGAGCAATTTAGAAAGTGAAGGAAGGAGGAGAAGTAGGGAAGGAAGAGGAGGGAAAGGGGGAGAAAAAAAAAAAGCAAAACAAACTAAATAAAACCACAAACAGAACAATATAAATAAAAATAAACAAACCAATAACAGAATAAAATTTGTAACTCCTTTTTTTTTAATTTCACAAAAGTTTTCACAAGGACAACGTTATAGAAGAAAACCCCCAGCAGTGGCTAGGTCATGCAGAACCATTAATTGTCATACCTTGGCCCATTCTATTCATCCTTGTTGCACTTTAGAGAGAGAAGTAAGCTATGTGAGTTTTACAATGCTTTTAAACTGTCATATTTCCTGTTGAGCACTTTAACTGGCACATTCTTATAGGTATAAATGTTCTATGGGCACAACTTGATAACCTCCTTTGCAAAGAATGCATGAAAAGCTCTTCATGATCCCAAACTGGGGTCTATGTGTGTATATATATATATATATATATATATATATATACACACACACATATACGTATAGTATACATATATATGTGTGTGTATATATATATATAGAGATATATATAGTTCTATATAAAAAGATAGATAATTATACATAATATAGAAATTGACATATAGGGACAAAAATAATTTGAAAAAAATTCTTCCACTCATCGGGCTTTTTAATATACATGTATACATTTTTCCCCCACCCCATTCCTGGTCTGAATACTGCACTGCCTGTCTTTGGTATGGGGGGCAGAGGTTCAGACTGAGCCTCACCATTCTGTCAGTAAAAGTGCTTGTCAACTCACACAGCAAGCAAACCTCCAAAACTATCATGCTTGGGGGGAGAGGGGATCCGAAATCTAAACTCAAAGCATTCACCATAAAAACACCTTTTTAGAGATGGTATAGCTGTGGCACCTTTTTCCTCCCCTCCACCCCTATTCGGCTCAATGGAATTTTTTAAAGGAGACATTTCAAATAGGTATACACCAGCCCGGGGCTAGTCCACAAGCACAAGAATTTGGTTGTGGTGGAGTCTGCCGATTTGTAGGAACTACTGCACTGCCTAAAGCCTGATTTGCATGCATAAGACATCTGACAACTGGATATTGAAAAAGGGATTTTTCTACCTTTCCTCTCATGCTTACTAACTTAAAAAAAAAAAAAGGAGAAGAAGGAAAACAGAAGAAAAAAATAATTGTACCAAAATGTGTTTGGCTTACTGTTGCACGCTTCTTCTCCCCACCCCGTGACGACAAGGAGCGGTTCGCCGTAGTTGTCATTCGCCTGCCTAAGTGAATTGGCTATGTTCAAGAAACTGGGGAGGAGGAATTTTTCCACCAGCTCTCAGCTTTGGGACAGCCAGCACCATGCAGCTGTGCCAGCAGTTTGGGGTGGTAGCTGGCTTTTGTCTTTGTTGAGTCAATTGTGGCTCGATCCCCCTACCTTCTGATTTATTTAGCATGTCGGCTCCTAGAAAAACATGCTCTGCTGCTGGGTTTATCTTCCTCACACTCTACCACGGCCCCAGCCCTTGCTCCTACCTGGCATTGGGGCCCTAGCTAATCAAACAAAGGGGAGTTAAAAAGGTCCCCTGAGAATGCATGGAAAAATACTCGCTCTTTCCTGAGCATTATTTATTCTGTACATAAGGTAAGTAATTCACCTTTTAAAAGATGTAAAAGTCCCAGGAAGGCAGTTTTTAATGACTTACATCTGATATTTATGATACATATGGCTTTTCATCCCAAATGTCAAAAGTGAAAGAAAAAAAATAGCTAGTCATATGGCATAAGGAGACAGAATAACAATTTAATATGCAATCAAACCTCTGTTCACTTAGATTAAATGACTAGAATTTGATACATCCACGAATAGGACACTATTCTTTCCTCCACAGTAAGGGTAGAAATGTTCATAGGAACTCCCAGAGGAAGCTAGCTAGCTCTGAGACAAAAAAAGGCCTTGGTGAGTAAAAAAAATTGCGCATGTTCTGTTATAAAAGCAGGTGCTTAATAATCATCTACGCAAATGGCGAAAGCCTTTTAAATGCTTTGCGAGACTTCAGCCCAGAGAGTGGAAAAACAATCGATATGTTTTTGTTGCTTTTTGGTTGCTCGTTTCAAATACATGTGTATGTATATATGAAAAAAAAAAAAAAGAAAGGAAGAAAGGAAAACAACAACAAAACCAAAACCCGGAGCACCCTGATAATCCTGATAAATCAGAACAAACTTTTCTTCTACATTAACTAAACTTGCTTTGCATAACTGACATCGATCACAAGGGCTCTCCCCTACTCTGCAAACTCCTTCCTGCAGTGAGCTATTTATGTCTGGAGCATGCCTTTGGGTTATTTTTCCCCTAGAATCATAAATAACTTTTGGTCCTTCTGCTTATTTGCTGTTGTGCTCAAGGGTTTTATGGTGGTGAAATAAAAATGACAACCACATGCACACTATCATACATATGCAAATATGTGTAAAAAAAAGGGAGGAGACTACAGGGGCAAAGGGGGAAAGTTACTGTTGGAAACACCCACTGGGGAACATGAGTGGCGGATACAGTTTCACACACGGTGGCAGTGGATACACATATCAGAGGCGCTCTTCCTGCACGTACTTCTGTTTGTCTCGGGACTCCCGGGACTTGGGTCGGTTCTGTCGGTTTGCCGTGGACGGGATGGAGTGCACGGAGGAGCTCTTCTTGCTGGAGGACTGGGACGAGTGGGAGGAATGGGAGAGGCTGGCCCGGGACTGGCCGGCGTTGTGGTCAAACTGCATCAAGCAGAAGATCAGGTCTGTCGGCACGAGCTCAAACTCGTAAGGGGGGTTGGTGATGACATACCTGGGCGGGAAAGCAAAGGGGTCACAGGTGAGGATAACTGCGGGCATAGTTCACCTGTCTCTGAACCTATAGGATCCTCTGGTCTTGCAGAGGACCTGGAAGATGGGCTTCTAGCTGGTTCAAGGCCCTAAGTATTATCTTCCAAGCTGATGCTCGGGACAGGAGGCCAGACACGAGCCCCGGCAGAGATGCAGAATTGGTGCCCGTGATGGGAGAACAAAACCGTGCTTCCTATGGCCTATGAGCCCCTTTCCATTCACTATCAAGTTCCCTTCTGATCCTGAGTAGCCCAAATGCATGCAGGAGGTTCATGGACTGTACTGCACCTTTCATTCTAGAGTGTTCTGAACAATCCCAGACACATATCACAGGGTCTTTGTTTCCCATGATCTCACTTCTTAGTCCTTTCTCACTCTTTTCCATTTAGAAAATCAACTCTTGTGGGGATTTTTCTAAATGAAAGAAGAAAAAAGACCTCCCTGCCTCTGTCTATGCTAGCCTTCCTTTAACTGTTCCCAATTCCATCCTGTTAACACCAGACACTTAAAAAAAAAAAAAAATCACTGTTTCTTCCATAGTAGTACATGTCAAGGTGGGTCCTAAGCCAGACATACTAACATCACCTGGGAACTTAAAATGCAAATTCTTAAGCAACTTCCCTCTAGATCTATGGAGTCAGATGCACTGGGGGTGGGGTCCAGTGATTTGTGTTTGGACAAGCTGTGCCAGTGATTCTCCGGCCTCGCTAAACTTTGAGAACTCGCTGGTTCTCAAAGCAATTCTCTCAACTCTGGCTATACCCTATATCTCTGTGCATTAAAAAATTATCTATGTTTTCAATCTAGACCGACTAAGTCAGAGAAATAAGAATATTTTTACAAAGCTGGTGATTCTGATGTGCAAACAGAGCTGAGAAATACTCAGCTCTATAGCATTGTTTCTTGAGGTATATCACGCAAACACACTGGTTTTGGTAATTCTATAGTGCACTTTTAATTTGCGGCTACTATGAATTTATTTTAATGCAATTAGAAAAATATAACTAGTACATATAAACTGCTATTTTTTTCTGCTTAAGGTGATAATACATGATTTTCTCAAAGTAAATATATAAAAGTTTAAAAAGTAAGTCCATTAAAATATAAATAAATATAAGTAAAAATATGGGCATCTAGGATATGGCAAAGGAACCATCTATCTTAAACACTAGCAATATGAAATATCTATTAGCTACCAACAGAATAATCCCTGCAGCTGGATTTTAGAGGAGACACTCCTATTCAGCAACTAATCTATAAAACTTGAATTCTTTACAGCTTCTATGGGTAATTAAAGAAAAACATCTCCCATGACCTCCAAACTCAGTGTTGGATTTAATGTGGGCAGAGTCATTTGCACGTTGAGAACATATACATGGACCTCTGCCTGTACAAGTGGGGGACAGGAGAGGATATTTCTGTCTCTGCATTTGGGTTGGGAGAGCAGAGTGGAAATATACTCACCTCTTTGTGCATTGGCTGGGGGTGCTGAGGTGAGCATCTCTCAGCCGGTAAATTCCAAAACAAAGCATATTATATGTTTTCAGAGCTTTGCAGAACAGATCACCATAACAACCACCATCCTGGGAGACAAGAAAAGAACAGAGAGCAACATTTTTATTTATCTGGAAGTAGAGGTCCAGGGGGGAACAGAGCCTTCTCATGAAAGCTTGTTTTGGGGTCTCCTGAATTGCAGGGTCTGTTCCAAAGGACCAAGGATAAAGAAGTCACTGTGATTAACTGCCTCCATCAAATACTGGTAATTTTCAGGGATCAGATAATGATGGGGTTCTCCTCTGGTTCTCTCCAGTTTTCTATCTGTAGCAATGAGAACCCTAAAGAGAGTGTGCCTCTCCCTCATGTGAAATGAGGGTGTAAAGTCTGAAGGTCTCAAATGCATGTTTGGCTGAGAAGAAACCAGCTCTGCGAAATGGTGATTATGTTTAGCCCCAGCTCGGCTGTAATCACTGTGATCTGACCGTGTTGTCAAAACTGCTCGAGTGATAATTAAAATCACTGCTAGGAGAAAAGACCCCACCAGGTACTATGGTGACAGACTCTTTCAGGGAAAGGACTGTGTGAAAAGCACAATTTACAGACCTCAGAGATGGCACTGGTGGAAGAGAATGTGTTTCCCCAAGAGGCTAAGAGCTGCAGGCTGAATAAGTGGGATTCACAGTCCTAATCAGTTCACGGTCACCTTCCAAGGGTCTGGGGCCTGATGTGGAATGTGAAAGCAAATCCACGCACTTGGAAACGCTGGTTTCATGCAGCCAGGTGATTTCAGGTGAGCGTTAGTACAGGAAGGGCCCTGAAGAATGACTTCTTTGGGAATAAGAGGCTGCCTTTGTCCTTCCTGTCATTGGAATTTCCACATGCGCATCGTATGACAAAACACAAATGGGGCCAAATCTTACTGATATTTAAAGTCTTTATCCTTTTAAAGTGCATAAGTGTATAAGTCAATGATAGATGAAAGGGGACACTAGCTATGGAAGCCACCTTTCAAAAAAGCCCAGTCTAACAAAGGTCCTTGCCCATAACCACACCAAAATATGGTGCAAGTCAACATCAGGGTTTCAGAAGAAATAGAGACAGTGACCCTTTCCCTGGGCAACACTACTTTTGTGCAATAGCTTTATTGGTTCCCAAGACTTGTGGCTCTCCACCCCTTGAACACATCTGTGGAGGTGGTAGGGCCATGAATAAGGGTCAAGAGTGCATACTTTTGCTAAAGTACGTGAACCCAGCTGGTGCATGGGGCCCAAAGGGAGGCACTGGTCATACCCTCTGTGGCAGGGAAAGCATGAGGGAGAGTGACTGGGTCCAGCCTCAGAAATGTGAGGGCCTAGATCTGGAATTAGGGACATTAAAGGATCCACATGAGATGCTATTTGTTTGACCAGTGGCTCTAGATGTATGTAAATACCAGTGGTGTTTAAAAACTTCCAAGGCCACAGTCATACCTAGATACAAAAACTTAGAATCCCGGGAATCGGGCATGGCCATCAATGGTTTTTAAAAGCTCCTCATGTGCTATGAACATGCCTTTGGGGTGAAGTAGCCCTGAGGCATGCCAAGACTGTGTGGAAAGGGGATCCCCGCCTTGGTTGCATGCTATAATCACCTGATGCCTCCTAGCTCATGGTAGGAGTTTCCCAGGGGAGTGAGTAAGTCCACAGGCTCTGAAGCCAGCATTCCTGGTGCAAATTCCTGATTGGGCCAACCCTCAGTCTTTCTGAGCCTCAGTTTCCTTAAAGAATGTCAAAGGATTGCCATTGGAATAAAAATGAATGTTAAAGCATAGTGCCTGCTATGCAATAAACCATAAACATCATAGTTATTTTACCACAGAAGACAGAAAAGACAGGCGCCTAGCTCCTCACTGTCTGGCACCCAGTTCACTCAGGCCAAGTTATTCCTAACCAGCGGGTTCTGCTCCATGGACTTACCCCCAAGTCCGCAAAGGGCCCATCCAGTAGCGCTAACTGGGCCACACGGCAGCGGTCCCTATTGGCCAGGGTCTGGGGGGTGCTGTAGCCCCCTCGAAGTGCATTCTCCTCAGCAATCAGAGCCTCCAGCTCTGGTGTGGCTCCTCCGGTCACCAGGGTCCGGATGAGGGTAAGGATATTGTCATTGAAGTATGTCTGGGGAGAGAGTTGGGGGAAAAAAGTCCTTTAAGCAAACACCCTAAAGTCATGACAACAGACATCCAAATTACAACTTTCCTTGGTATCTCCTGTTTAAAGTTTTGGCCTTTCTTTTCAAATAATTTTATGTGGGAAGTGAAAAGACAGCAGCCTCAATTATTCCATTCTTCTCTCTCCTACTTGGTTCTTCCAGGAGAGTCTGACTTTTAAAAACCAGTTCAGGGAACTTTCATTAAAGGGCTGAAGTCTAAATGGCTGGTGTTTACCATAATTGGTGTTAGTAGGGATGCAAATACTGCTTCCCTTCCTTAAGTCCCACATGTCTACTGAGGGACTTTGGACTTGTGACACAAAATGCAGCCTGTCCAGGCTGCTAATCCAAGTACGACTACCTCTGAGGTCCTGTCACCCTATGCTAGGATGTCGCCTTCCCCAAAGTGGTAAAACTTCCTTCGGCATTGGAAAGGGATGCCGAGAGTGTCATTAAGGCCACATGTCACCAATTTATTTTATTATGTGCTTTGATGATAATCTAACCCAGAAGTCTCTATCAATTAAATATGTCAGATAAAATAACGAGGAGGAGGATGTCCTGGTACGTGCACTTTTGGTTTTATTTTTTTAAGTGATCTCAATATAGCATATTAGAAAAGTTTCCCTCTGAGGCAAATATAGCATATTAGAGAAGTTTCCCTCTATGTGTACATTTGTCTCACACCTGAAACATAACAGATCTGTCAGGAACAAAACAATGGGAGTTTAAAAATATTAATAGGGTGCCAAATAAAAGAGCTCAAAAAGACACTTGTCACCAGCCTAATTTGAGAAAAATCTCAAGTAAGAGTCTATGTTCCATTTTCCAGGGTAAGAAGAAATCAAGCAGGCAAAATGAAATGAAACCAGAGTTTGCCAGTGGCTTCTGAGGGCGTATGGACTTTGGGGAGTCGGTTAGGAAACAGCTGCATTTCACCCCAGCATTTTCTCAGATAGTTTACCTGGCAAAATGTAGTGGGGAATAAACCAGGTAAGGATGAGTTCTCTCATCCTGTGTAGCCATCACTAGTTCTTTGTCTTAGGGGTTGACTAATCAGTCTAGACTTTGATCTTCTTAACCGTAAAATAAGCACAGTCATTAAGATCAAGTTCATATGCAAAGAATTCCATGAGAACTTCTGGGACACCTGGGTGGCTCAGTGGTTGAGCAGCTGCCCAAATTGGCTCAGGTTGTGATCCCTGGGTCCTGGGATTGAGTTCTGCATCAGGCTCTCCGCAGGGAGCCTGCTTCTCCCTCTCCCTGTGTCTTTGCCTCTGTGTGTGTGTGTCTCTCTCATAAATAAGTAAATAAAATCTTTTAAAAAAAAAGGGAAAAAAAGAATTCCATGAGGACTTCGGAGTTCAAATGATAGCTGCTCATGGATGAGGCAGGATTCACTTTCCTCATTGAAATACTGGCAAAACACCCAAAGTGATAGAACATTCCAACAGCAAAGGAGACTAGGAATGTTACCGAGAAGGAGTCAGACCCTAAGGAGAATGAAGGTATCCTCCACCAGAGCTCAGATGTGCCCTGAGGCACAGAAGCAGCACAAGGACTAGTACTGGACGAACTGCTGCTGGCCTGGACACGGGATAAGACTGAGTCAGGCGGTGGATGTAATGCTGGCTTCACCTCTCAGAAGTTGTGTGACCCTGGAAAGTTATTTGTCATTTTTGTGCTTCAGTTTTGTTATCGTAAAATGTAATAACAGAGTGGTTAAAAGGACAACAGAACTAACACACGTGAGCCACATAGAACAGTGCTTGGTGCACAGCAAGTGCTGACAGATACTTCTAGCCTGGTATCAGAGACTCAGAGCTTTTGCTAGGGAGAGGAACAGTCCTCTCATCCTCAGCCTTTCCTTTAAAAAAAAAAAAAATCCTTGATGTTTGGGGTGAAGGATGGGCAAACCAAAGCCATGTATTTCACCCTTGAGTTTGTACTTCTCAGTCTGCCTCCATTGGAAGACCCTGTTTGGACTCAGGAATGACAGGGCAAAGGTCACCAGTACACTGTATCCTGGGATGGGGCAGGAGTAGCAAGAGGAGCCTCTGGAGGTATGTTCCTGTTCTGGGGCACATCTACAAGCATTTCCAACATTTTCCATTTCCAGATCCTCTTCGCTACAGTCAGATAACACATCATGAGAAGCAGGAGACTCCTCCCTAGCCCTGTGGCACATTAAATATGTGAGTGCTGGGCATGGAAACTTGACAAGGACCTTTGTGCTCTAATTACCCATTTAGATCAAGACCAAGGGGAGGAATTTAACAGCTTGCAAAGTGGGCACAGAATAGTCATGACCTTGTACACTGAACTCTGTTTTTCGGTACAGAGAAATAAAAAGAGCCAGTATAAATATTTTTTATAAGGGAACCATAGTATTTAAGATATAAAGGAAAAGCATCATTTTGACTGATTAGTTACTGGAAGAAGTAGAAGAAAAAGTTAGAAGCATCTGTCTTGGAATCAAATAAAATTTTTAAAAATATTGTGTCTATAAGAAGTAAAAGATGAAACTATAAGAAAGAAGACTTCATACAACTCACCCATTTTTATGCAAGATATTAAAATTAAAATGGATGTGATTAGAGATAACTAAAAGAATCCAATATGCTTTCATGATAAACACATTCAACAAACTAGGAATAAAGGGGAATGTCTTTAGCCTGATAAAGGGCATGTATCAAAAACCCAAAGTTAACAGCAGACTTAGTGAAAGACTGAATGCTTTCCCCTTAGAATCAGCAACAAGACAAGGAAGTCTGCTCTCACCATTTCTCTTTCAACACAGCACTGAGGGCTCTAGCCAAGGCTAGAAAGAAATGACTATCCATATCAGAAAGAAAGAAGTACAGAGAACATGATGTTATATATAGAAAATTCTAAGTTATCTATTAAAATTCAATTATAGATATAAATGTGCTCAGCAAGTTTGCAAGTACAAAATCAATATACAAAATATTATTTATATACCTATACACTTGCAATGAACAATACAAGAATAAAATTAAGAAATTCCTTTTATAATAGCATCACTAAGAAGAACTACTTAGGAAGAGATTTAACCAAGGAAGTATAAGACTGGTACACTTAAAACTACAAAATATTGTTGAAAGATATTCAAGAGAATCTAAATAATAGAAAGGTATCTCATCTTTATGGATTGGAAGTCTTAATATTATTAAGACAGTAGTATTCCCCCAAACAATATACAGATTCAGTACGATCTCTGTCAAAACCCCCAAAACCATATAGACATGGAAAAGCTAATTCCAAAATTAATATGAAGGGTGCCTGAGTGTCTCAGTTGGTTAAGTGTCTGCCTTTAGCTTAGGTCATGATCTCAGGGTCCTGGGATCCAGCCCTGTGTTGCGCTCCCTGCTGAGCAGAGAGTCTGCTTCTCCCTCTCCCTCCTCTCCTCCCTCTGCTTGTGCTCTCTCTCTCTTTCAAATAAATAAATAAAATCTCTTAAAAAATAAAAACAAAATAAAATTCATATAAAATTGCAAGCCGGGGTAGCCCAGGTGGCTCAGTGGTTTAGTGCTGCCTTCAGTCCAGGGTGTGATCCTGGAGACTCGGGATCAAGTCCCACATTGGGTTCCCTGCATGAGGCCTGCTTTTCCCTCTGCCTGTGCCTCTGCCTCTCTCTCTCTCTCTGTGTCTTTCATGAAAAAATAAAATCTAAAAAAAAATTGCAAGCACTCCAAATAACCCAGCAATCTAAAATAGATGAAGTTGGAGGACTCATACTTCTTGATGTCAAAACACACTACAAGGCTACTATAATCAAGACAGTGTAATATTGACATTCAGTCCAGAAAGAAACTCATATGCATTTGTCAATTGATTTTGGCAAGGGTGCCAAGATCATTCCATAGAGAAAGAAGATAGTTTCTTAAACAAATGAAGCTATAATTCTTAGACTTCTACATTCAGAAGAATAAAGTTGGACCCCTACCTCACACCATATGCAAAAATTAATTCAAATTGATCAAAGATCTAAATGTAAGAGCTAAAACTATGAAACAGGAGAAAACATAGGGTAAATTGTCATAACCTTTGATTTGAAAATGGATTCTTAAATATGATACTCAAAGCAACCCCCTTTATATCTGATAAAGTCTAGTATCCAGAATATATATGTATAATATACATATATAGTCTTCTTTTTATTTATTTATTCATGAGACACACACACACACACACACACACAGAGAAAGGCAGAGACACAGAGGGAGAAGCAGGCTCCATACCGAGAGCCCGATGTGAGACTCGATCCTGGGTCTCCAGGATCATGCTCCAGGCCAAAGGCAGTGCTAAACCGCTAAGCCACCCAGGCTGCCCCATATATAATCTTATGTAAGATTTTATATATATCTTTTATATACATATATAAAATCTTACAACCCAACAACATAAATACAAATAACCCAGTTTTAAAAATGGACAAAAAACTTAAATCAACACCTCTCAAAAAAAAAAAAAAGATATACAAATGGCCAACAAAATAAAAAGAAAATGAAAAGATGCCTGACATCACTAGTTATCAGGAAAATGCAAATTAAAAAACCATGATGAGGGATCCCTGGGTGGCGCAGCAGTTTGGCGCCTGCCTTTGGCCCAGGGCACGATCCTGGAGACCCGGGATTGAATCCCACGTCAGGCTTCCGGTGCATAGAGCCTGCTTCTCCCTCTGCCTGTGTCTCTGCCTCTCTCTCTCTCTGTGACTATCATAACTAAATAAAAAAAATTAAAAAAAAATTAAAAATAAAAAACCATGATGAGATACCTCTTCACACTCACTAGGATGGCTACAATCAAAAAGACAAATCATAAGAGTTGATGAGGATGTAGAGAAACTGCACCATAACACTCTGCTGGTGGGAATATAAAATGATACCACCACTTCAAGAAACAGTTTAGCAGTTCCTTATACGGTTAGACAGAGATATATAAC